CTGCTGCGCCCCCGGTCACGGTGCGCTCCCGCCCGGAGCGAGGCTCCCGTGACCCGACTCCACGGAAACTCCGGGAAACTCGTGTCCTGGGCGGGCAGCAGCGCGGTGTGCTGTGCACCTGCTGCTGGGCCTCGTGGAAGAGCGCTGCCGCACGCCTGCTCGTATAAAACCCGGCCAGGTGTGCTCTGCCTCTTTCTGTGCAATTGTGCTTGATGTCCTAAGAGTGTAAAGACATGTTTTCTGATAATAAGTGGGTTGTTTTTCTTTTTATTTCCAGTCTCCTGTATCAGATGTTCAAAATAAAATTTTTCCAGGCGTTAACCAGCAGGTATTTTTTGTCTCTTTCAGTCCTGGAGTCTGTGGTTGTCAATTTTTGAGCCGCTTCTTGCTGTGAGCATGACAGGGGATGGGGAGGAGCTTGGAATGGATAGAATGCATGCTTTTGTCCGTTCTCGCAGCAACACATTCTTCTCAGTAAATCCCCTCTGTAATTTGGTAGCTTTCATCCATGAAGTGCACTTTTAAGCGCATATCGTTAGTTGCGTTTCCATTATCTTTAATGCATATTTGCTTGACTCCTTACAGTGTGCTTCTCGGGCTTTTGTGCCTGAAATATGTAGCTTTAGTGAATTCCTCCTCCTACCTTTATTGCCACCACAATTTAAATTGCTGTTCTACTGCCAGCTCATTGGTGCTGAATTGTTTTCAAGCAGAACATATGCTTTGACAAAAAATGTATAAGGAAGAAGTAATGCAACTTGTAGGTAATACCTCCAGCTGGACTTTTCTCATGGTAATTGTGGATTTGCTACTTTAGGGGACACATTACAGGAGCTAAAATGCTGTGCACAATATTGGTTTTGTTTGCACCAGCTTGTGGTCTGGTTCTGGAAGAGAAAAAAAATAAGAAAAAGCTTTCGAACTTTGTCTTATTCAATATCAAGAAACCTGTAATAGTAATACTTAATTTTTACGTTTGATTCTGAGATAGATTCTGTTTTTTAGGGGAAAATTACTGTTATTTTGCTTTCTTTTCTAAAATACATGCTACACTAGTGGGGATTTTGTAAAAGTAGAAGGAGTATAGAAAGTAAAGATAATAAAGGACCGTAGGATCATTTGACTCAGTATCCCTGCTATTGCAGTGGGCTCTATGTGCCGTTAATAGAGAGCAAGAATTAAGTGATGGTGCTACCAATACAGAGAACTATGACATGGCATTGTGGCATCTTGTTAACTTGTCTGTGAATGTATACTGAAGCAAGACTGATTCTTCAGGCAGAAAGCCATGTTACCTCTAAGGTTTTGCTTCTGCATCTCTGAAGTCATTGGTATTTTATGCAATATTGAGTTCTAAATGATTCATTAGAACTGTATCCTTCCCTGTAGTCTGACATGCATGTGTCTAGAACATAGTGCATAAGTGGACTTGAGTGGTACTACTTTCTTTTAAGAAGTCTGTAGTCACCCTTTAGAAGGCTTTAGTCACCTTTTAGTTGCAAGAAAAGAAATATTAAATGAAGATCTTTATCAATTATTTACAGACGAATTAAAAATGTCTGTATTATAAATATTTTAAACTCTGAGAGACTGTCCTGTTCATTTAGGTGTGTGGGAAATGAGAACTTTCATAGTATAGTAATAATTCAGGTTTTGAAAAAGTTTTTTCAGTTTTCCCAAGTTTGGTGCAGCTGCAGAATTGTTTAGTGTCTCCTTGGTGAAGTAAGTATTCACCCAACTGGTAAAATACTTGATGTCTTAAAGGCTGAGTTACTTTTCCATACCTGCGGTGTAGAGGGAGATGGGGCAAACTGCCCATCACGGGCCTGCATTCTCACTGATGTTCTTTACCTCATTATCCCTTCTGTGGCAAGTTGTCAAAAGAGAGCAGGGACTGGTCCCTAGGACTTGAAATCATCAGAACTTCATGGCATTGCCTAATAAATTAAATAGGCCAAATATGCCATCTGCTTTAAAGAGTGCTTGCATAGTACATCCCTCCCTTCCTTGATGCCACAAAGAGTTCAAATCCCAGGAATCTGCTGTTTCCCCTGTGGTTGGATGCACTGCCCTTCATCTCAGATGGCTACTCTGTGTGCTCACCTGGAGGCATCCAGGACAGTCTTGTTCTGTTTGATGTCTTTTGTTACTGTACAATGCCGTGACACTAGCAATCCCTGCACTCGGCTGTCTGGTCCGTACAGAATCGGTTTCTTCAGTGAAGCAGTGAGTTCATACCATACCACATTAGAAGCCTGTGCTTCGAAGCTCTGAGGGTTCGACTTTACAGGACGTGTCCTTTCTGCTTTTAAATCTTGAGGCAGGATGAATAAGTGTGTGTTAGAATGGAAGGCTTTGGGTTCAAGGCAGGCATGTGCATGTGAAAATAGCTACAAATTTTAGGATTACCCACGTAATGGTTTATATTTTGAAGATTTTATTTAGAGGCAAATTGGCACATTTTGTTCATGTGTATTGTTTTTAGTGTGTTTTAATAGGTGAAGGCTTATTCTCGAGGTGGAGCACAAAGGATAGAAACTTTACTGAAGGAAACAGAGGTGGGCCAAACTTGCTGTTTCCTATTTCATGGGAAATGATAACATTTTAAAGTTTCCCTTGTATGGCAGAATTGCCTTAGACTTTTCTTTGGAAATGTTAGAAATTAATTTGGAGCCTGGCACCAGTGCTCAGAGGCTGTCAAGCCTACTAGGCTCCCCTGTGCTTAGCAGGGACCTTGGAAACTTGCCCAGGTCTTCAACTGTGGGAGCAGAAATTCTGATAATGTGCCTGTTATCAGGACTTCAAGGCTTCCATCTGCAGATCCAGGAACTTGAGACCGAAGCTCAAGAAGGCCCTCTCTACTGTTGACCTGTAGATCAAGACCCAGTTGAATCTGAAATATTGTGGGCTCTTAAGCTACCTCTGCATGACTGTATGAGAGACGGGAAGCTCTGGAGCCCTTGCTTCATGTCCAGGGCTTGCCACTCTGGGGTTCTCAGGCCTCAGATCCTGAGATGGTGTGCCTGGGAGTGCTGTCCCCAATTGCACCCCTTGGAGGACAGTTCTCCTTGGCAGCTCACTTGGCAAGAAGCTCACCAAGAGGGTCGGTGATTCAGTTAAGCAATCTGGGTTGGATGGATTGACGCATCATGACAATGTTAAATTTTTGTTTCTTATTGAGCGCAGTATGTGGGCATGTCCCTGGAGTGTTAGGGCCTGTGTGGGGGGAAAGAATATCTTGGGACCAATGGCTGATGATTACAGTGCAGTCCCAGCCTGGCTCTGCAGGGAGATAACGCCATTTGCGTCTGGGCAGGCCCACCTTTGAGAGGCGCTCAGTGGGTGGTGTTCCAGTTTCTCTGCACAAGTTAAGCATGTCATTTTGCACTAGTTAACAGAAGCTTTGGGTTCTGGGTTGCCCTGGCTTTCCTGAAGGAAGACCCCTTCTAACACTGAAGGGTTCGAAGTGTGAGAGAAGCCTATTCTGCTGCTGTTCTGTTTGTTCAACTTGTGGTTCAGTGAAAAACAATCACATGAAGCTGTGCTAATGGAATTTGCATAATGCCATGGCTGGAGCTTCATAAATCTTGGCAGTTAACTTAATAAAAAAATGTTTGTTATTTTTTAAAAAACCAATTGACAGAATAGATTTTACCCTATGGCGACAGCTAACATTCCTGCCTTCCCTTGCATTTAAATGGAAAGCATGCTTTTGTACCCTTGCTTCATGCCATCTGGGAGGTGTATATACACAGCTGAATCTTGCAGTGAAAACACCAGTGGTGCGTTTATAGTAATGGAGGGACTACAAGAGTTACATATTTTTGTCTTCATTCTCTGAGTGAGCAATTTTAAGAAATACAAAGTCTGGTTAGCACCTTCTTTCTTGGGACAGAGGCTTAAAAAAGTGGCTTTCACAGAGAATAAACACCATGATAATGTACAGCAGCCTCTTGTCCTCTTCGTAGGAGAATGTTATTTACTAGATAAAAACATGCCATATAAATCTACTCCTTTTCATAACTGTGACCTGTCATTCCAAATTCCTAGAACTGTAACCATGAGAACAGCTGACAGTTAGCTTGAGAAAAAGCAGTTCAGTTCTTGCCTGCAATGATACCAGCCTGGAAACTTTGGGGGATAGCCATTAGTGAAGCATATTTGGTTTCACTGATGCTCTTGCTGTTACTTTTCAACATCCAAAAAAAATGGACAAGCATATAGAGAGGCACGCACACTTAATAATTAACTAACTAAATTAATAAATACAGACTGAAAGTTTCAACTACTTTTGCTCAGGGGTGGGTTACATAAGCTAATGCAGTAGAATAAAACTTATTTTTAAATGAAGAATAGGAATGAAGGGATGACATAAGTTAGACTGTTAATGGGCTTTTAGCCTACTTTCCAAAACGAAAGAAAGCTTGTGTAATCACTCTATCAATTCCATTTTAACAGCTTTAGTAGATTTCAGCTAAATTTGGCAGTGGCATAGATATCTCGAAGCTTCTTCAAGAGCGCTCTAAAGTTCCACAAAGATCAGACTCTAGGTGGAAGAAGGGTAACCAGAATAAGTCCATACCTTTTCTTCTCTGAGGGAGAAAGGTGCAAAAGGGGTTAAACAGCTGCCTTCTGTTTTGCTTGTTGACTAGCAAAGTGGCATGTGCATACTGGCTAGTTCATAGGTCCTTTCATGCCTGACCCAGCTGCAGTAGGTAGTGCATTTCCTGAGGGTAGTTAGAAGAAAGTATGGGAGGAAGCATAGAGTGCTGTGGGCTGGAGAGGTTAGGGCATGTGGAAGGCGCTAGTTGAGGGACAGGAGAGAAAGGTGAGGAAATTACGAGGAGATGTGGAAATGTGAGAGATTGGAGGGCTTTTGAAACAAGTTTATATAGAGGACAGTGGCAAGCTGTCCATGCAGAGAGTTGTGGTCAGCAGCTCATTGTCCACATGGAGGCCAGTGACAAGAGGTGTCCCTCAGGGGTCGGTGCTGGGGCTGATACTGGTCAACGTCTTTGTTGGCGACATGGACAGTGGGATTGAGTGCACCCTCAGCAAGTTCACTGATGACACCAAACTGTGTGGGGCAGTGGACACACTGGAGGGAAGGGATGTGCCATCCAGAGGGACACTGACAGGCTTGAGAGGGGGAACAATGCAAACCTCGTGAAGTGCAACAAAATGAAGTGCGAGGTCCTACATCTGGGCCATGGCAATTCCAGGCACTGGTTGGGTGGGGAAGTAATTGAAACCGGTAGTGAGGAGAAAGACTTGGGAGTGACAGTGGATGAGAAACTCACCATGAGCAGGTAGTGTGCGCTAGCAGCC